GGTGCTGAAATAAAATTGTTTTTCTGAGTCTGGAAAGCAGAAGCAAATCATGAATGTCTTCTTTTGATATCTGAGACATCCGCAGATCTTCAATGGCATCCCTTTGTCTTTCAAGCTATAATAGTAGGATTATATATGTAGCAGATTAAACAGAAGACTGAACCTATCCCCTATGTCTTCATCTATAGCTCAAATAAAAGATTCTTCACTTTTAGTTATGTGAAATCAGTCTTAGATTGTATATTTTAAAAATGTAAACAGGAAAAGAACAAGAAATGGAAGGGAGATCAGTAAAGAAACCGGGGTGGGGTGGGGAGGAAAAGAGGGAAAAGGGGAAAAACTGGGAAATATATTGGCCCAATTATATTGTTATATTTTGTGTATGTATAAATGTGTAACAACAAATCCTACCACTATGTACAACTAAAATATACCAATAAAATATGAAAAATAAATAAATTTTAAAAATGTAAACTGAAAGACCACTGGTGTCTGGACCAGGTGGCGCACAGTGATGTAAACTTCTGTCACTGACAATACTCACTCTGGACACAGCAAGACTGGTTTCAAATCCTGGATCTAACTGGTTGTCTTTAAAACTTTTGGGCAATCTCTTCAACCTTTCTATATTCCACATGTTCATCTACAAACAAGAACACCTACCCCTTAGATTTGTACATGTAAAATTAATTGATACATATAAACTACCTGGGACAGTCCCTGGAACAGAGCAAGAACTTACTAAATATGAACTCTGATGGTTGTCACACATGCATGTGTGTGTCTTAAATATATAGCTTTTCTTATTGAATATGAGATCACCACATGTAGCAGTAGTAATTAAAAAAAACATAACTTCTTCTAAAAGAGAGAGTTGCAAGAAATTTTACATGGGACTGCTTAGTCACTTAATCATCCAGCAGTAGGTCACTTCTCACAAAAAGAAAGTGGTATTTTGCAGCATGAATGTGTCACTACTTGTCATTGGCTGCAATGCAAAAGGCAATTTGCTTCATTTTAATTTGATTTTGTTCCATTTTTTAGAGTAATTACTGGACAATTATTTTGTCATAAGCTCTATGCTCAATAGGCAAATCTGGCTCCATGAGATTAAGAAACTAATTTTCTCTGATGTAGTTTGCCCCTCTTCGACCTTCAATTTCTGAAAACATATTTTTCAGGTGTTCTCTTTGAGAGTAATTTTTCACTCATTGTCATTTATTCGTCATTCAGTTCTTATGCACTGAAATTCCATTTATTTCTTTCAGCCAGCAAACCAACTTACCTAAAGCCTTGCATTGCATATAACCAGTGCTCATTAAATATGCTTTTAGGTTTGTGTGTTTGTGACATAATGCTATGAATCGACACTAAACTGAATAAAAGGAACTACCTTAACTCATAAACACCAACAAACAGAAGTAGTAAACATATAAGTCTTTTTGAGTAACAGATATCTTTAAAATATTTTACCTTGATAATAGGTTCCTCCTCTATGCTCCCCAACTGCTATTCATGTCTCTGATATGTCACTTGAATTATAATGAGAACATAATTTTACTCCTTCTTGATCAGAACATAAGCTCAAGGAAGCATAGACCAAGTACTGTGTTTTCTATTCCTTGTACATATCAGAATTTCTGCTACACAGGAGTACGAATATCTATCAAATGAGGCAATGTCTTAGATACAAATAAATGAAAGTTCAGGAAAATATTCTAACCTTGAGGCATTTTATTTTTCTTTCTTTGAAATGGAGAAGAATACATCTTATATGGTCATATGCAATATGTGGTAACAACACCTAAGCTGCAAATATCTAGAAATTTCTAAATACAACAACTTTCATGCATTGAAAGAGTGGGTTTTTCTCAAAACTGCAACTGTTGCAAAGGTTTTCTTTTTTTGTTGTTGTTAGATGATAATTCTGTAAAATACAAATGTGCTTGAGATACTTAAAGCAAAAGAATATAATTTTTTCACCATGAAATTACATGAATTACCAGTAGTAGATGTTTATGTAAAGCAAATATAGACACAATTCAATAATCAAATTAAGTATATATAGCAACGAGAGGGGAGGTTGACTATTTTCTATTGTATTTATTATATTAAATATTATTATATATCAATAAGCATAAGACTCTTACATATTGCAGTTTATATAGTTAATCAAGTGAAGAGTTTAGTTTCATAAATAACTCTAAAATTATGAAATTATTAAAAGACTAACTAGCTAACTAACTAACTAGCTAACTTTTCCTTAATTAATCCTTCTCAATTAATTGACAATGAAAACATTTTCAATTCTTATATTAACTATAGATGAAGACATTCATAAGAATTTGGGTTAATAACAATAGAAAGTGAGAAACAATTTTTCACTGGAAGATATCTTTGTGATCACCCACTCTTAAATCCTTATACTGTAGCTTAAAGGTATTTTGAAATAGATGTTAAAGTTCAAATTATTACCAATATCATATATGTAGTGACACAACAGGAATTCTAATGCTGTATTGTAGAATCTGTTCCAAGACTCTTTCTATAATAAATTCACTGCCTTCTCGCCTCATGAAATAAGAAAATACAATTGTGATATTTAAAATTCAAAATGAAAAAAAAATCCAAATTCACTGATTCAAGTGGATTAGGACTAATACTCAAACAAATGCAAATTTACAAAAGTAAAACCTTGCTGTATCAGAAGTTTGTTTTGGCTATCTTGGTACATATTCTTGTACATCCTTCTTCCTGCCATTGTGTCCTGTATCCCGAACCCAGGATGGTCTGGTTAAACAGAATGGCAAAGTAGGTGGATACTGAAATTTGTTCTTAAGTCTGACAATTTTTCTAGTGTTTTCAAAAATGGAATTCCCTTACAACCATGAGTAAATAAAGACTTAGAATAATGATGGTTACCTAGAGAGGTTTTTGCACAGGAAACACAGGTACATTTTTAAAACAGAGTGATATTTTGAAATTTATTTACAAATTTCCCTTCTTGGATTTTTTTCAATTCATAGTCTTTATCCTACCAGACCTGTCTACTTCATCTACCTCAGAGGTGAGGTCTGTTAATTAGGATTCATTAGAAAATAAATAAAAGGAGAAAGGAGAGTATAATTTTCAGCATCTGAAATATAGTGCAAGATGCAAGCTTAGTTATTATTTTGAGAGATTTTTCAGATGCCTTTATTCTCTTTATAACACAACTAAGTTTAAGATTGAGAGAAGCTCTCTGGGCTTTGGCCTAAATGGAGAGTGATAGATGATTTAGGTTAGTATTAAAAACAGACAGCAGTAGGCAAGTCTCTTCCAAACCACAGAAACAGTCAAAATAAACTTGGTTAGTATATTCAAACACCTGAGATCTTGGGGGATATTTCCTCAAATTGATCTTGGTTTACATATAGTGTGGGTGGGATGAACATGAAGAGGAAAGCTTGTCAGAGGTCTTGCCATAATGAGGTGAAGTGATTTGTGGGATTGCAGAGCTGCCCACTGGCCTGAGACAGACGGGAACCACAATCAGACCCCTGGAAGGGCAGAATGACAAAGGAACTGAGGTGGATCCAGTGTAGCCAGGAAGCTCAACTCAGTGTCCTTTTGGGGATGTCCCAAATCTCAAATTATCCTTGCCTTAGAATTTAAACCACAAGGGCAAGCCAGAAGCAGATGGACAAGGAGCTTGCTTCTAAGGTAGGCAGATAGTAGGCAGGAAGATGCCACCTCTCATTCTCTTTTATTTAAGGGAGAAAAGCAGGTGAAAACAGACTATCTGAAAGAAATAACAATCTAAAATTAGAAAAAAAGGACTTATTCAATCAGTAGTTAGCAAACTATATGCCAAAATCAGTCAGTGCCTGATTTTTAATAATATTTTACTGGAAAAAATTACATTTATATACAGTCTATGGCTGCTCTTTTCGTTACAAAATGATAAGAGTTGAATAATCGCAAGAGAAACTGTGTATTAATCAAGGGTCTCCAGAGAAACAGATCCAGTAGGAGATCTCAATCTCTCCCCCGACTCCATAAGAAGGGGTTTATTAATAGAAGTGGTTCATGTGGTTGTAAAGGCTGAGACATGCTTTCTGCAAATGGAGAGCCAGGGAAGCTAGAATCATGGCTCAGTTCAAGTCCATAGCTAAGAACAAAAGGAGCCAATGAGGAAAGTCAAAGTTCAAGGCTGAAGACAGGAAAACCTGGTGGACCACTAGTGTAAGTCCCAGTCTGAAGGACAGATGACCTAGAGTTCTGATGCTCAATAGGAGGAGAAGATAGATGGTTCAGATCCAGAAGAGAGAAATAGCGTGTTTTCCTTTTCTCTGCTTTTTTTTTTTTTTTTTAAATCTCAGTAGATTGAACAGTGTACACCACACTGAATGAAAGTGGATCATCCTTGTTCAGTTCACTTATTCAAATGACAATCTCTTTAGAAACACCCTCACTGACTCACTGAGGTAACCCAAAATAATGCTGTCCCAGTTTACTGGGTCTCTCTTAATCCCATGAATTAGCCATCAATTAGTGGTCTATATGGCCTGCAAACCAAACCGTAAATGTTCACTACCTTGCCCTTTATAGAAAAAGATTGTAATCTATGGTGTAAAACACTGGACAGGATTTATTTTAAAACATAATGTTGATTTCTTATTTATTTTTCTTGATAGTTGATAGCTTAGAAAGAAGGCCAGAGTAGTTATAAACAATAAAATTTACATTTTATATTCACATGACAGTTAGATATACATTAAACTAGGTGCTCTATAATAACTGTATGCTAGCAAACATCACAGCTAAAGTCATGAAGTAGTTATAATATTTGATGACCAGATTTATATATTTAGCCTCCAGATGATTGATTTTTCTTGGTTTCTTTTAAAGAGACAATATTTCTTGAACTTTGCTTAGTGGACAATATAGTATTAGGGATGTATTTAGTTGAGAGAAAAGCAGGCATAGGACAGGGATGAAATGAAAATATAATTTCTTACCTTTACTCAATAAAGTAAAATAAATACAGAGCTGGATGTGCTATCTGGGAAGGAGAACCAGGTTGATGGGGTTATGGCCTTGGAGAGGCAATGTTTCTTTCTCTTTGATGAGCTCCAGGATTTATCTTCTACACTATAATGTCCAGGAATTGAGAGCCAGAGGAATGGTCTTTTAATTTTAAATAGTCCCTGAAAGAATTGAGAACATTGTCTCAGTTCAGCTTCAGAAAAGAAGTCATTGGTCTGGTCGAATCCTCATTGTTAAGGCAAAATCATGATTGGTAGAGCGACACAATTTGTCCAAGACAAAATTAAGTCTAAGACTCTGAAACACTTGGGAGTCAACTGCCCTTTTGCAAGGGTGAATGCTTTAGAATATGATCAGGAAACAATGCAAATATACAAAGTGGTTTGGATTTAGATATGAGTTGATCCCCAAAAGCTCATGTGCAAGATAATGCAAGAATGTTTAGAGATGAAATGATTGGGTTATGAGAGCCTTAAGCTTATGAGTGGATTAATCTATTGACATGAATTCACTGGGTGGTAACTGTAGGGAAGTAAGGTGTGGCTAGAGGAGGTAGATCACTGAGGGCATGCCTTAGGGGTTTATATTTTGACACTGGTGAGTGAAATTCTCTCTCTTCTTTGTAGCCAAGTCTGAGGTGCTTCCCTCCATCACATCATTTCTCCATAATGTTCTGCCCCACCTTGAGTCTGACATCTATGGACTGAGACCTCTGAAACTGTGAGAACCAAATAAATATTTTCTTCTCTAAGTGTTCTTGTCAGGTCATTTAGTCACAGCGACAAAAAGCTGACTAAAACAGTGTGCATTAATTTTCAAGAAATTTTTGTTGGGTTATTTTTAGGTCATTTGTTTAGGACATTAGAACAGGTATGCATAAAAAAATGTCATTGGGTTTTCTACTATTCACAGATCACTGTTCATGTGAATTTTTCTTACCTTTCCTAATTTATTTCCAACTCCCTCAATCTCTCTAACCTGGACACACTGTTTATGTTCACTTTTGATTTTTTTTCTTGGTTCCAAATGAAAGTATAATGATGAAAAAGGAAAAGTAAGATCTTAATGTGCATCTTTTGTTATTGTAGTACTTATTACCTACTTTTGTTTTAAGATAAGTGTCTATTTCTACCATGGGAAAAATCCTAATAGATACAATTTTTTTCACCCTCTGCCTCCAAGTAGTGCTATATTTAACTAATAAAAGATAACTATTTCATTTTTATGGCCTTTATCAGTGAAGAAGTTTATAGTTTATATCATTCTTCTGAAAATTTGTGAACTTTTTAAAAAAATTATGTCCCCTTGTTGATGGAAACCATCTGGTCAACCTTTTTATAAGCTTGAACACAGTTATTAACAAACCTCAGATAACTTTTCTTTATCAGTAAACAAAGTTTCTTTAACATCTCTTTATAATAGTATGCTGCCCTTTAAATTCAAAGCTGCTGTTTTGGGCAAGTTAATTTTAAATTATTTTATGGAAGTGGTGAAGAGTTTGCACTTAATTAATCACATCTCTTTTACTTTAATCTCCACTGTGTTGCTTATAGATTTTTAGAAGGGGTAGAGTGGTCTATAACTTTTATAAAACGAATGAGGGGATTACTGGGGTCACAGAATTTCAAATTTCCTATCTCAACCAGTGGAATTAATTCTTCATTTTGAAAGTCCCAATGAATTTTCTTGTATTTTTCCTAATCTTTATTCACAGAATAAAATTTCCCATTTGTTTGAAAAACTAAACAACAGTCAGTACAAATAAATGAAGCATTTTGTTATGCAAACAATTTCTTAAAAGAAAATTTTAATGACAATATGGCTATAATAGTCACTTATGGGCTTCAAAGAAACTCTTTTCCAAAGCTAAAAGAAGATTGTAGATCTCACAAAATAGTATTAGAGGAAACAAAAGAAAATATGTAGAATTTTTCTTTTAATTGTCCAGAATGCATGTTAAATTATCATAATGTATACATAAAAGACCAGGTGTTCCATCTTGCCAAATTCACACTTTTATAAGATAGATGCAAGAATAATTTATCTGTTGAAGTATTCAACATTTTTTCTTTTATTTCCATTGAATAGGCTTTAAATGCAGCAAGAATATGAATTAAGGGAACTTCAAGTGAACACAAAGACTGAGAGAAGAACATGCCTGAGTCTTGGATCTACCAAGGACATGATTGTATCCATTTATTCAACAAATATGATTGATTAGTTACCAACTACACAATCACAGTCGATTGGTTAACAACTTCATAGAATACTGAACAAGTTTCTGTTGATATAGCAGGTGGACAAACTCTCATTTCTCATGTAGCTAACCTATGGCGAGGAATGGCAGGCAATATAATAAAGGCAAGTGAATATAGGAGATAACATCAGTTCAGGCAAATTCTTTGAAGAAAATAAAATACAATATAGTTCTAGAAAGTGACTGGTGTCAACATAAATAAGGTGATACAGGTATATTTAACTTGAGAATGAAATGATAGATGGGAGTCAAATCCTTAAAACTGGAGGAAAAGCAGCAGAACTGAAGGAAATGGGAAGATGTCATTGTGATGGGACACACTATGTATGTCTGTATCTCTGTTACTTCTCACAAAGCATACATTCCCTGCCCCTTTCCACCAAACCAAATTCAAAGCTCCCATCTTCCACAAGCTCTTCCCTAAATCCATGAAATAATTCTATTGACTTCCATGAATTAAAATATTTTCAGTTTTAATTTTTTAAAAAAATATTCAGCAGTACTGGGAAACTTCACATCTAATCATATGTTTTGTAAATATTTTGTATATGGTTCTCTTATGAATTATATTCTCATAGCATATAGTTTCTGGAATAAGATTCATATTCCATGATTTATTTGCCTGCCATACTGTCAATTATTTCGTACAAATGCTATTGACAAAATAGAAATATTTTCTTTTCTATCTTTCTTTATTTTTTATACCAGGGATTGAACCCAGGGGCTTTAACACTAAGTCATATTGCCAGAGCTTTTTATTTTATTTTATTATTTTTTTGAGATAGAGTCCCACTTGCTTGCTTAGGGCCTTGCTAAATTTTGGCCTTGAACTTGTGATCCTCCTACCTCAGTCTTCTGAGTCACTGGGATAATAGGCATGTGCCATTTCACCTGGCAGGAATCTTGAGCTCAGTATGTTCCATGTAACCCTGGAATTATGACTTATTGGATATTTTACATTTTTAAAGGGTTTTATACAAAGAAAAGAAGCAGCATATTGTTGGGGGTAATAAGTTAAGCACCTTGAAAAATAGTGAGAAAAGTATGTAACTAATAGTGAGAAAAGTACATAAAAACTAAGAATGTTGCCCAACTTATTGTATAGAATCTTGGTCCTTAGTTTTGATGAAGAACCCACGGGTTAGCTGCTAGTTGTCAGTTCTTAGCCTTAAACTTCCAAAAAACTCAAGTCTTTTCAACAACAGGTGTCATTTCTCCATGTCTTTTGTTTTGACAGTAATCTTAGTGACCTTATGTATCACTACTAAAGCTCTAATTTTCAAGAAAGAGGGCAAAATATTATAAGGGTTAAGTAGCTAATAAGCTAATCATGTGTTGGTGATGTAGTATTGCTTTCCAAAAAAAATCAAACAATCACCTCAAACTGAATTTAGACCCAAACTGTCACCGGCAAGCATTTCAGCAGGAATAAGTTGGATATGAAAAATCCACAAGGAAAATGCTACAGTAAATCTTCCATTCATATTAGTTTGCATTGATTATGAGGGATCGAATGTTTGTGTTCCTCCAAAATATGTATTTTGAAAGCCTGACACCCAGTGTTATGGTAATAGGAGGTGGGACCTTTACAACTTGATTAGGCCATGAGGGTTAAGCCCTCATGAATGTACTAGTGACCTTACAAAAAGGTTTAGAGATATAAATCAGTAGTAGACCACTAGCTTAACATTTATTAGGCCTTGGATTCACCCCCAGAACAAAAATAAATAAGAAAATAAAGATTACAATTAGAAGGTATTTAGTATATAAAAAACAAAAACAAATAAACAAAAAAGGACTTTGTCTTTTGTTTAAAAAAAAAAAAAATAGAGTGACCTTGCAAAGGGATCCCAGAGAGCTTTCTTTCTGTCATATGAAGATTCAATTGAGGGGGTAACTCTCACCAAACCCAACCATAGTAGTTGAAGCTTCTATTCTCTAAAACTGCATGGAGTAAATTATTGTTGTTTAGCCAATTTGTGGTGATTTAACTGGGCAGCCCATATAAAGACACTAATGTTTTGAAGAGAGAAAATATTTTATAAAGTGTCAAATTGTAACGTAGTAGCCAAGTGAAAATAGTGTCAAGTATTTGGAAAATTTGTATTCTGCTAGGTGTTTTAGACAGGATCAGGATGGCGCTTTAGGGCCCTTGCCTAACAAGGTTTGAGATGAATGGAGAAAACCAAGAATAGGAATAACTTATGTTGGTGGGAACCCTTCAATGAGATAGAAAGATTCAAAAGTTTGCTTCATGGACCCTCTTTAAAGTTGCTGTTAGAATTTTTAAATATTTAAAATGCTAAAAATATCTCTATTTTGTTTTTATTTGGCACCAGAAAAAATAAGGTTCATATATCTAAGATTAGATCTTGGTGTGGAGGGTAGAGAAGTGCTCAAGTGGGAGCTTGAGTCTAGACTGCATGAAAAAGAAGATGAGTGTCTCAGATAACTGTTGTGACTCTATTGGCCATACTGAGCCACACCTCTAGCACTAATCCCTGCTTCAGTAAGGTGAAGAGGGCTGCTTTATACAGCCCTCCACCAGCTATTGCAGATGTTAGCTAGCAGTGCCATCCCCTGGACTACATACCTGCTGCTCTCTGCCTCAGGGCTTCTCTGACAGGTTGAGTGTGGGGCATTCTTGGGATCCTGTAAAATACTTACACATAAGCAATCCAGAAGTGCAGAGCTGTTACTCTCTGATGCCCTAGTCCTGTCCCCACTGGGTGACAGGTAAATGCTCTTGTGTTTCATCTCCAGGCACAAAGCTCTACAACATTTCACAAGGCCATGTGCATTTCACAAGGCCAGTCTCACTGTTGGTGGTTAACCTAATCCTGGAGTCAGTTTTCATTGCTTTCCTTTTTCACTTGTCCTGTTCTATACTACTATTTCTTAGTATTCCATGTCCTCCAAAATTATCAGTAATCAAGTCTTTGCTTTTTGAAAGGCTGAAGCTAAAATGGTGGGATTTGGTGGGGTGAAAGGAGGAAAGTACCTATAGGAATGAACCACAATGTTCCTCAAACAGTAAGTTTTTCATTTATTTGCTAAATGAATGCTGTGAGTAACTGAGAAAGTGACTCTTATTAGATCACTATAATTTTCTTCATGGTTTTACTTGACTCAAAGCTCAACCCCAAATGCCCCAGTCTCCCATTAAATGTCTTATATGAATAGAAAGCTAGAAAAATATATTTCCTTCCAATTCTCTGATAGTGCTCTTTTGTCATTATTACATATTTTATTGAATTTTATTAATTTATAACAGATATTGTAGGAAAACCATTATCTTCAACCTGTAGGGTAATGATTCTGAATTACAGTAGCATTATTTTGTTTTTTACCCTATTCAACAGAATGCATGTATGCATGTATATGTATGCATGTATGTAAGAGGAGGGCAGGAGCTGAGGGAGGGAAAGAGAGAGAGAGAGAGAGAGAAAGAAAGAGGGAGTGCCAGATTCATTTTGCTTCAGTTTAATAGTTTTAACTGGTTCATTAGCTATTCTTTAGAAAGAAAAAAAATGAGCATAATATAGTAAATGATCTTAACATAGTAATGGGTAGGTTCCCCTCCTCCCAGTTTATGGTAGGTACAAATCTCTGCTCTTAATGTTAAATCTTATTTATGATTTATTTTAAACTTCTGCCAGAGTAAATCTTGAGTTTCCATGTTTATCAAGTAAAATATTTTACTCTCAAAGATCACAATATCAATTTGATCTACTGGGCACATTATAATCTACTTATACCCAATTCTCTAGAAAGTTACCACATACCCAATTCCTAAAAGATTTAGATAGAAACTCAATTTTCCTTCATAATTTTTGTGACTGACTTATGAATAAGAGAAGCTTCAAATTCAAAGCATGTTTGAACTTCTTGTTATTCTATCTATGCACATATGTTTCCTTCTCTGCAATATTATATTTGTAATTCATTAGCCATTCCAAAACTTGTCAGAATGTAAGCATTTTTCAGTTTCTAATTTAGTTTGAATGGCAAGTGAGTCCTATTTGTTTTCAGGGTTGGTTTTATTTCATTAAGTCAGAATTACTTTTTTTATAATTACATGTAGAAATAAATAGCCTTTTCACAGGCTGATAAAAAAATACTCATTCAAGTTTGTTCCAAATTTATTTGGTTGACAGAAAGTAATTTCTCACTCAACACTACCATATGAAATTAACTTTCCTTTCTCAACACAATAAAAAATGATGATTTGAATTCCCCAAATTGTATAAAAGTCTCATACAATTTTAAAGAGTAAAGGAGAAAAATTAGGATACACACAACATTTAAAAAGAGATTTGAGCATGAAGAAAAAAGTATTCTTTATAATGCCTATGCAATTTAGAATAGTTCTTCAAATAAAAAGTCTAAAGTGAAATGGACAATCCAAATTTAAAATAAATGTGTACATCTTCAAAAATAAAACTCCTTGCTGAAAGATAAAAGTCCACTTCTAATTTAAAATAGAAAATAAACCCAAAAGTACAAAATACCAAAGAAAATCAATTACTCCTAACATCTAGCAATAATAAAAAAGAAACGAGGACATTCTAAGACCCATTATTTAGTTCCTTTAACTTATAATTACAGTTGATATGAATATTTACCATGTGTCCATAACTATGTTGTGTAGTTTATTTGCACAATCCTCATGAAACACTGTCCTCTATAATAATGGTACAATTTTATTGTACTTTATTTTAACTGGGGATGAATTTAAAAGTACAACTGAAACAATAAATCCAGCTTAAATTTATGTTAAAATTGAAATCAGCATATTTGCTTCATACTCATCAGAATTTCCATTGGCAATATCAAACTGCTCATCAGGAGATTAGTTACTCATTCCTGGTGGGTATTTACAGTGGACATTATGGTGCACCACCCAGATCCCTCCTTTAGGATTTGGTATTCATTCATTTCCCCAGCTGCTGGGCATGTAGGCTGCTGATGACATATGTCAAGAAAATAAAGTAATAGGCTTCCACTGCCTTCTGTTCATACCCAGCAGAGTCCACATGAGTGTAGTCTGCCTTGTTGTATGTTACCACAACTAAACTTTAGTTGTATGAAAGTCAATAATCTTGGAATACATTGGGTATTCCACTGTTTATCTCACACAAACACTCAGTTCATTATACAATCCTGTTGGCTCTCCTTTTCCACTCTCTCTCTTCCATTTTCCCTGTTCACTCCTTTAGAATCACAGTGG